GTACAAAGGAAAACTCCCTGAGTAGAGGTTAATGGCTTTCTACAAGTGACAGCTATGGCTAGAAGGAGCACAGGTCTATGGCTGTCGTGATGGATCAGCAATTTGTTCCAGCCGTCTAAGCCTTTTACGGTTTAGGGTTTAGGTTATGTCGGCACTATGTTGAGATTACTTATCATTGCTAGGAGGAGATGTTTTCAATGACGGTCTAGTGTGGAAAAAAGGTGAGCCTTGCTTGTAGGTCTTGGTGCCCTAGTCAGAAGCCGAGTAAGCTTGCAGGTTTACAGGGATCCACGATTCTTGTTCAGATGTATGTGAAAGGTTGTTCAAGATCCTCCCAAGCCCGGACAATGCTGAGTTTCATTGTGCTGCTATACATCAAGTCATTCACCCTGAAGGTAACAGTCACCACAAAAGCTGTAGAAGTTATATTTGCCCCTTAGCGAAGCCCTTTTTGAGGACAGTTACTGTCAGGGGGAAGGACCCAAAAGCTGCATCCGCAGAATTCGTACAACGGAGCTATACTTTGGACGTCCCGTGTTTACATTTGGGCTTGAGACGTGCTACGAGGCCTGCACCGGTTGGCCTACAGTATGTTCCTGAAGAATGATGAGGATTTAACATGAAGGGTCGCGGGAAGGCTTAGCGGCACCCCTCAACCTTCAAACCCCATGTACCTGGGACAAGAGACAACCAAGGAATCCACGAATTTGGAGCGCCGCACTTGAGCCTTTGTGGCGGCTATGAATTTCAATGTGACCTTGCATGGTCCAGGTCCAGAAACATTCCATTAGACTTTCAAGCCTGCAAGTTGAGATTCGTACCACATTCTCAATATGACCTTTGCCTGATCCTTCTTCAACATTGATAGAAATCTGTTTTCACAAAGTGCGATGGAACCCGGCCACAAGGACAACCACGACCAAAATCGGTCCAATTCGTGTACAGGCGAGTCTGGAATCCCCATACACTGTAGCAGGCTGAGCACGTAGAATAGGCATTTGGTATGTTAAACGATAGATACTCTACTGCACTCTACTTTACTTTTGTAAGGATTGTTGGGCAGTCCGGCTTCTGCGTTAAGGAGGAAGTTGGGAGGTGGGTGGCTTTCCCACAGGCTTTGCCTACTTGAGGGCCCATGGGTAGCCATAAGTCGAGTGACACGTAGAGACAACTCTAGTCATCATCCAAATTTCCGGCGTGTACTCCCACGTATACCTACTTATGAACCTTCAAGTACCTACGGACCCAGGGGCTGCACGGTGTTCAGGGTAGCACGGGAGTATCAGCGGCGAATGCGCCCCGAACAACCTATCATCCCACAGTTTCCTATAACTACTCCTATATGGATATCTTATAATTGCTCCAATATAACTCACTAGTGTTTCGCCATATACTTGCCTACCCCAAAACCCCCCTACACCCTGAACCCTTTACCCACAGCCCCAAGCCTCGCCTATACGGGGTTTCTTCTGCTCTGAAGCAGGCCACAAGCGAGTCGCCCGGGAAGACTGCAGTGGCACTGCTGGCGCAGCTACGAAGATCCCTTCGAACAAGCGCCTACCAACAGGGTTCTGTGTACAGCTTATATAGGGACATATGGTATATAAGTAGGGTATATAGGGATCTATAGAGTTTAGCATTTAGGGTTCATAGGGTATATTGGAGAATCCACTAATTGAAAAATGGCATGGGAATGGATTTAGCATGTTGGTATGTTGTATCGGTTATATACTGTAAAAGCCACACTGAAACAATGGTTCTCAGAAGCCAAGGACCGCTCGGAAGTATGAGAGGTGATTACAAGTATAGGCAGTACAACAAAGGCTAGAAAACGAGATTCCGTGCGCAGGAAGCTTAGTAAGCACCCCAAGCCCTGACAAGGCCTTGAGGAGGAAGAAGGGATCTTATTATCCTCTCTCACCGCGGTATCGAGGCGTCAAGGATGAACGGCCTTGAAAAAAGGAGCCCGTTTCCTAGAGGGGTTTAGGGTTTTAGGGTCCAGGGTTTAGGGTTCTCCAAAAAGCACAGGGGTCCTTTCTCTGACTGGCTTGTGCATACAGACGTTCACGGTTTGGGAGTTGTAGTCCCCCTTAAGTAGATAGAATATGGCTTTGGGTATGTTATAATAATATCCCCATATACCCCATATTCTATCTACTTAAGCGGGACTACAGTTTTGTTGCCGTCCATGTACGGAAGTGGTTGTGTGAGCCATGCGTTGCTTGGTCATCACTTGTGAGGTGCCAAGTTCAGAGCAAGAAGGAACGCACAAGGGTAGATTGCTATGTTTGTGTGCGGCTATCTCCGGCTGAAAGACCTAGAGCATAGCCACACATCTTCCACAGCTCAATGGGAGCCAGAGGCTAGAAGCAAGCTTCAAGACTCCAAGCATCAGCTTGATAGCTTTGATCACGCCATGTCTAGTTGGGAGGCTGGCACTTACAAGGCCAGGTCGGAAAAGTATTGATGTTTGGAGGCTTTGGATTTTGGAGGATCAATGTTGATGTTTTTCATTTAGGGTCCTCGGTTTGTTGCGGTAAAATAGTATTTGAAGATCACAGGGTTCGACTCTCCAAGATCCTATATCGTCATCCCCTCTGTACCTATCCATGGCCTCTTATTTGACGAAAGCTTTGGTAACCCCAAGCCCTAAACCTAAAGCGATAAGGATCGTGTAGGTATCATGTGACTATATTGGCGTGACCAAAATTCTTTTGCAATAGCCTGAACCCAACAAGACACGTCTGCTATTCCTTGGGCCACGAGCGTTGATTGCTGCCAGATTCCGTCTTGATGAGTCGTCAGTCAACTCCGTCAAGCCTGTCAGTCAGCAGTTTTGTTTTCCCCTCTTTTGTCCTGTCTTGGGGTCCATTACTTACAAGAAGCATTCCTATCTTGCCCCTATAGCAGTATAGCATCCATGATGGGGACTACCAGAGTCCACCCAAGACCAGAGTCCTTTGAGTCCCCAACTTGAGAAGCTCAGTGCTGTCTGACGGAAGACCTCAGGCGTTTAGAGAGCCCATGTGCATGTGAGAGTGTGAAAGGCCAGGAATAGGAATGCTTTGGGTACAGCCATTTAGGGTATAGGGTTTAGGCTAGATTTAGGGTTTAGGGGTTTAGAGTTTAGGGTTCTAGGATTTAGGGTATAGGGCTGGTTTGGGGTCTAGGGGCGCGAAGAGGGAGTGGACTTGGTGCACTGCTTGTGACATTTTAGCTAGCTAGCTTGCTACTTGCCGAACTACCTGCCTACCACCCCAACCTGGTACATACTTCAGAATCCTGAACAATTACCAATGTTATGGTCCTGGATTCATTGTACAATCCTGGTAAAGGTACCTCAAGAAGACATTGGGCCTGTTCAGCCTGTTAACCCACAGGGGATTTGTAAATCTTACAGATCCCCATACTACCCTCCCGCTATAGGATACTGCGAATATTTAGCATGCTAGGTTACTGTTGGGGGAGGGGATGATTGACGATCATGGTCTTTCAGGCTATATATGTTGCCCCATGAAAAGCCTGTCCAGGGGCCCCTGCCATTGAACCTATACCCTATAATCCCTATATAACCCATAGTACTTTACATTTTCTTTTCCATTATCCCAAGATAACCCCCTAAACCCTAAACCCTAAATAACCCAAAAAGGCCAGAACCCAACAATTCTGGATTCCTGCAGAGGTTGATGATCCGGCCATCTCTTTTGCAGGCAAGAAGTTCATACATGAGCTAGAGTCTAAACTCCTCAAAGGGTTATATAGGGGATTTTCTAAGGGACTAGTATATGGGTTATCAGGGGGATTCTAGGAGTTTAGACAAAAGCTCATATGTGTTGTTTTGGCCTCCCTGAGCCATATCAAGCCATGCTGGGCAATGATGATTGCAGGAACGATTGCGACGGGTTGTCTCTGGGATGGTTCAACTAGACCCAGCACAGATGTTTAGGGTTATATAGGGATAATGGAAAAGAACATGACAACTACTATTTAGACAGGATTCTGGACATGAGGGTCATTTCATGATGGCTAGCGCCTTGATCTTCAGGTATGCTTCGGTGGGATAACGAAATCTGAAAACAAAAGTCCCACTTTTATCATGAACACCTTCCTCACCGTATTGGCCGTTAAGACTGGTACCTGCCACTTGAATGCAGAGTCGCAGGGGGAATCTGACATGACTCAGACAAGACCCGCAGCAGTAAGTCGTAAGAGTAGACTTGGATAGCAAAAGCAATAATGCCGCTAGCCGCTACGACCATGGTTATTATGGCCCCATCTTATACGAGCCCCCACAAAGTCGAGCTTGATCACGGATTGTCGGAAACCCTTACTGGTAGGGCTATTGTAGAAATATGGAGGCATGAACACTTCGCAACAGAAGACGTCCTTTATGTAAAAAGCCCCTTACAGCCAGCATATAGTCGTAGCAAAACATGCCCCAAAGCCTTGTTTTGATTATGTATGCCCCTTCTGTACTCATACCGGCTGCTGCGTTGGGGAGAGCCGATGCTTGCAGGTCGGATGTTCCTTGACAGCGTGCACACAGAGGCAGATCATCATTTCCTCGAGCTGTCTGGCTTATAGTGGGGAATCAGGGACCGATTATAATCTGATAGGGACTGCCGCACGGAATCATTTCGGGATCCGTTCCTCTACTCGCTACCTACCAGCAGCAAATGGCGCAGCTGCGCGTTTTTTAGCGGAAAGTGTGAAGTTTCTTTGCTTCAGGAATGCAGCAGAATGCCATATGATTCCCTGACTTGTGGTAGACTTTAAGATAGCTCAAGATCTGCCAGCGGTTGGCATGCAAAGCTGTTGCGCTCTGCGTATACTGCCACTATGAATTCCAACAGTCTTGCCTCCCCTCTGGAAGTGCAAGTGAAACAGCTCAAAGAAGGCCTTAAAAGGGTGTGGCAAACCGCGCCAAATCAGGTTACCTCTCAGAAGGTGTCGCTGTTGCCTCTCATTCTGAGTGGCCTATCCTAAACTCTAAGGTAGGAATGGCCTTGGTCAGGGGTATCATTGCTCCTCTGCTAACCACGCTTCCGTTTTCCATGTGGTTGCCTAAACAGGAACCTACTTGGAGGGTCTACATCCCAGGGGTTCTCCGAGTCTTGTTTACCCCGTATGAGGAGTTTGTGTTCTTTACTTGTTTAAGTCGTGCATGACCTGCGCGACCTTCATACATGCACTCGACATTCTTGTGGTTACTTGAGAAGATTATGTGTAGGTCTGTCTGAGTATGTACGATTGCAGCGCATGCTTACAAGAATGACACCTGCCAAACGCCCGCACCTCTAGACACCCACTCCCAAAAACCCTCAGCCATACGCATTTCAGAATCTGGTGCTTCTGAAAAGACTCTCGTACAATCTCCACTGGACAAACCCCATGATTTGTGATTGTGATTCCCACGTCTGCCCGGGGGCCTTAGGAGCACCACCATTTTAAGAAACTCCAAACACTATCATCACCTTTCTTGTGGTGTTCTGTTTAAGACTCCTGCGCAGCTCTACAGTGACCTTGGCCTCCTGCTTCTGTTCATCGGCGGCATATTGGGCATGCACTTTCTCTATTATGAGGCGCGGTTTGGGGATGAAGGTCACAAGGTTTTGGGGGATTGAGGTTTTAGGCTTTAGGACTTTAGGATTGTATTGGGGTTCACGGCTTGTATTCCAGGGCTTAGGATTCAAGGTTTAGGTTGCGGGGGGTGGGGGGGGACGGAAGAAACACGTGTGCACTAAGCAAGCCCCTACCCTCTTCGCCCTGCTTAGCTCGACACTGTTCCTGTTCCTGTCTCTCATGTAGATGCTTGCCCCAAGCCTGTAGGATTGAGTTAAAGCGCCACGGGTGGTTGAGTGGGACGCTGCGTGGGAACGTACAACCACGCATAACTGCTCCAAACCTGAACGCCGCCTACAAATCATAAATACCTGTATGTAATCCTGTGCATGCTTTCAAGTATATGCATATATGTAAACATGTTTATATGTCATGTATATATGCACACCCCTTCTAAACCAATTACCCATGAACTTCTAGTTATGTTGACAGGGAAGGCTTGAATCACCGAAGTCTGGCCGTTTTCGGAGGAGCCCTTCAAATTACAGTAATCAGTAATCATTGTTGTTGTTATGCCTGCGGTCGGTGCTTAGGTACAACCCATCATGGCATTATGCCTCAGAGTACGGATTATGTAGCAACAGGGGTGGGGATGGGGCTGATATTAGGGTTTGAGGCATTCCAACGCGCTTTTGGTCAGCTTTTTCGGATCTGTTTGACTGTCCACGAACCTCGAAAGCATCAAGCGGAACTAGGCATCCCAGCGCGTCCCTCATGGAGATGCCTCGACATACGAAGTGTCTTATACAACTAGCCTACAGCGTGAAGCCTTCCTTACTGAGTGTGTGGGCCTTTCTCTTGATGCCGTTTGAGGTTTCGATGCCCACCAAAGTTCCATACAAGCCATCGACAAAGATACATAGATGGCCCATAGGTGTTCTTCAGAGGCGGCAACCGCAAGCGGGGTCCCAAGAAGAGGTAGCATTGGACCCCATTTCTAGAAGTGTCCACCTTTGTCCTACGAATTGTTCAGCTTGCCAAGTCTGTGCGGAGGTCGCCATGCTGAAGAATCCCTCAAATCGCTTCTCGACTGCATGTGGGCGATTCTCGAAATTATGTGTTGCGAAGGTCTCTACGGTATTTGGTGGCCTTCCTGAACCGGTTTCAGCACCAGGTATAGCTACGAGGCTATGAAGCTAGCTTTGGAGGGTACCAAAACGTGATTTATTGTGATTTATTTTGGAAGCTACCTGCTCGAAAGTCAGACAAGTTGAGGAAGCAAAGCACCAAGCTTTAACAGCTTGGCGCGCTGATTTTACAGGGATGTGGTGGGTCCCCTGCTGGGTTGGCTCCCGAATGAGACTACCATGGCAAACTGAGTATATGAGGTAAGAGGCAGGAGCGTAAAGGCTTCTGTTGTCTTGATGGACAGGTGGGATGTTGTTGCACTTAATCAGAAGTTGGAAGCATCAGCCTTAAGACTCACGGCTAAGCCTTCATTCCTTGGCCCCGACCTTCTGCTCCAACAACCCCTTCACACTGTTTTGCCGTTGGACTTAGATTTCGTTCGCATCACAGAGAGGGGAGATAAATTTCTGCTTTTCAACAGACAAGCCTGTTTTTCACAGTGGCGCAAGCAGGCCGTCCTTTTTGCGTTCAAGAAGCTGCTTCAGATGTTTTGGGATGCAAGAGTTCACTCTGTAGGCTGCAAACTGCGACTTCTAGCAAGCAAGACATTGCCTGAATTCCCAAGCCATGATCCCTGAACTCTCGTTGCCAAGCCGCCGAATCCCAGAACCGTCAATCCTGAACCACTGAAGTTGAATGGGAGGGCCTTAAATGTCAGGCAGTGGGTCTAATGAGTTGATTGCCTGCAGTGCATCCTCAAGTGGTTGCTTCAGGATCGTTCGCACCACTGCATGGATATTTTTCGAACCTACAACCCAATCATTAAGCCCAAAATTCAATCCCTAAGCCCTAAACTCGAAATCCCGCTTACCAGGCTCGTTTGGACTCCAAATCCTTGTTGCAGTGGCGTCCTCTTTCTTTCTTGGCAGGGGACCTGAGACTGTGAGGGGATTTTGCAAACAAACAGGGCTTGGGATTTGAGGTTCTGGTTGTAGTGGATGATGGGCTTTGGGTTCGAGATTTTGGATTTAGGTGGCTCAGGGAGTTTAAAAGAAATCTGGCCTTTCGGGTTTAGAGGTACATGGCTTCAGGACTTAAGGTTGCGGGTCCAGGTTTGGCTTGGAGGTTCATTGGCAGTTCATCTGCTACCTGCTTCTACTTGCTTATAGTATACACTGTTTTCATTCTTCATCTAGCACTTCACGCCCGAAATGAAGACAACCCCTAGCAGCAAGACAGCCACTGACCAACCTCTTTCAACACCAGATTCCCGGCAGGATGACCCATACACCCACATCCTGGCACTTACTTCTTCAGAGCACCACCTCTAGACGCACCAGAATTGAATTCGTGCGCCTACACTGAGTCCATCCCACATAGTCCTCATACGAAAGTGCACATCTGCGTTCATGCAACGCCATCGGATCGCCAACAGCGGAATCGCCAACAGCGTCGTCATGCCGAAGCAGCAGGTGCACTCCAATAGATTCAATAGATGTCCTAGGATTGCGCATATCAGATGTGGAGTGTTTCCTGCACTGGCTCGAACACACAGAGTGCGTAGCTGTGAAATCCCCAAAGCAAGTTGTGGGCGTGCTGAGCAACCCTGACGATGCGTAGAACGTGCTTTGAGGGATGCGGAAACCGCATCATGGGATGGTGTTCGTGGTACGGCTCATATGTTCTTGTCATTTTGGTCCCCTCGGTTTTCGCGACAGGCTTGTGGTTTACCATTGGCATCCTCAACAGGGCCCATTTGCAGCTGAACTCGAATGCATTTGGGAAGCTAAGCTGCCTTGTGCACCCCAAGCAAGACGTACGCTTGGAACCAGCTGATGAAACTTGCGGGATGATGCAAGCAGTGGGCCCCGAGATCGCCTTGAAGGATGCAATTGAAATCATCACATGCGCATTCCGCAGCACGCTGTCATGGGCGTGGAAAATATTGGCCCCCGCAAGCTTTTATCTATGGATATGGGTGTTAGGTCTGATTTTCTCAATTTGTTTGATGTTTCTTTGGCAATGGGCGCTCCACAGTTACATCAGAGACATGCAAGATGTTATACGACAACTGAGGCAGGCGCAGGAAGAAACAGACGTTGATGTTCCCGAAGAACCCAATTTTGATGCCTGCACGTGGGACAGCATCAAGTTCCTGCTGTGCTGTAAAAGGCGCCGTTGCAAGGAGGTCCGAGCTGAGCCACAGCGGCATGAGCACTGGTGGTCGGAACCCCGTGAAGAAACGATTGGGTTGGAAGCGTTTTTGTGTATACCCACTCCCTTTGTGATGGTGCTTTATGCCCTGAGCTTTGCTTGCTTCTTCGCGATGCTTCCTCCGATGATGGTGATGGTACTGGTTAGCATATCGTCAGTATCTATTCCTCTTTGCTTGGTCTTTGCCATCATTGCATTTCCATTCTTGGTCGACAAGTTGGATGCGGTGGGAAGCTGCAACTTCAACAGAGCAGTTCTGTTCTGTCTTCCAGTCCTTGGCAGCAATGAGGCAATACCTGTGAACTACTATGTGCTTCCGGCATACTGCCTGAAGTGGGCCTGGCACTTGCGTGGATTTTTCAATGAGTTTGCAGGTCGTCCCGCGGCAGATCAGGAATGCAAAGACATGAGCACGTCGCTTGGGCGAGGCACTGCTACCAGAGAGGAAGGAGAAGGCTCAAGTTGGGCCACACAGAAGATCCATACAGTCAAGAACACAATGAGCTGGCCAATGGAAATTGTCTTCCAGCTTCTTGATGTCAAATCTGATGTGAGCGTGGCTCTCAGCTCCTGGAAGGTGCTGCCGCCCATTTGGTCCGCTTTGTTTGCCCCTACCGTGCTGCTATCTTGCTGCAGTCTCTACCTTGTTGCTTTTCACAAGCCTGCGTTTGTGAAGCGAGATGTTTTCTGGTTGAAGTTGCAACTTTGGGAGGATGTCTCACAGAGTATCCTTGCTCTCGTCGGCATTTTCCTTTATGCGCGGGCGGGAGCTCCGCAAGACCCGTTCATTGTGACGACAGTGGCCGACTCAATGTTGCGTTGTGTACTGCAGCTTGTCCTCTTCCGAAAGAAACATGCCGAAGCGCATCTACTTGTGCCAACCTCCGAAACAAGAGGGCTGCTCAAAGCCACGTGCGACCTGTTCTTCTGTGAGGAATCCTTGCAGCCAGCCAGGCGTTGCACCATTGTGAGCATTTAACAGTTGGCTTTTGAGAACTGATCCCAGCGCAGCAGCAGCGGTTTTAGCTGCTGTGTTTTCATATCGTATGGGCTCACTGCGAAGCAGCGTCGCCTGAAGATCTAAATTGGGACAGTGGTGCCATGCTAAGCAAAGCACAAAGTGAGAAAAGACGACCTTGTTGGACACCGCTATTGTGTACAGGCATGCTACATCCGCTTTAGGCGAGCTTTGGAAGTTTAAGTTGATCACCTCCGTCGCTGAGCAATTCATCCAGACCAAGTTCTAACATGTTCTCATGTTTCCAGCCACATCAGAGCCCCAGGGCTTCAACTAGCCCAATTTAGACAATATGTACAGGTCTAAGAGTCTGAAGTACGCATCATTCATAGACAGAGAGCCTTAGGTAAAACTGGTAGTATACATTTTAGCAATATAATTCAATGTAATATGAATATCACTAGTTTGTGTTGAATTTTTTGTTACTATAGTATGTTCAGTATCATCATGATTAGGAGTCGTTCTTCGATGTGACAAAGCCGAGGCCTGGGCCTTTTCTTTCTCTACGCCTGGGCCGGATTGTTTCTTCCTCAGTGCAGCGTGTGCAGCTTGAACAGGTTAATGGAACTTAGTTGGAATAGCGCTGTAAGAATGATCGAGAAAAGCAGTTGTATTCATAATAGTAGCAGTAGTAGGAATACAGAACAAGTAAGAGCAATAAAAAAGCAATGCTAAGAGTTATGGCAATTTCACAGTGATGGTACTAGCAGTTACTAGCATGGGCCCTCGTAAGCCACAGGTCTTAGGATTTAAGCGTTTTTAGTGACCCTAAATTTTGATTTGAGAATCGTCCAAGATTGGTTACCCCAAGCCAGGTACTCGTGATGCCTCTGACGTCCCAACACCTTGGTCGACGAAGCGGGTGCCTCGTCCAAGAGCAGGGTAGGTAGCCTTGACACCTTGGAAAAGGTGAGGATATGAGCTGTAGTCTGAACGCCTTAAAGGAGTATAGGGTTTAGGGCTTAGGGTCTGAATTCCTGAAAGGGGTATATCAGGGAATATTGTAGGGGTTAATTATTTGGGGGCATACTAGGAGTTTAGACTAGAGTTCATATGCAAGCCTCTCAAAAAGTGGGTCCCTGGGATATATGGGAATAATGCGGAGGTTGGAGGGGTCTTCTCATGATCACACATACTGATATCTTCGAGAGAATCCCTGTTGAGCATGTTCAGAACCAGGGGTCAACCATATCTAAGCCCAAATGCTACGATACTCATGTTTAGGGACTTCTGGACAACAGACAAGGCATTTTTGGATACCCCTTTATCTTCTAGTGAGGATTTTGAGCTGCAGCCGACAGTGCTGTTACAACCCTGAACCATAAACCCTTCAACATTAGATACCTACAAGGATCCCGGACTTCGCCCCTGACCGAGTTACTGTGATACTGGTGTCACTTGATAGTTCATGGGACAGAACTAGATATAACTGGTATAGGAACCCTATTTACTTTCCCCCCTTAGTAGGGCTGTATGCCGGGCTATGAGTTACTGAGCCCCATGAACCTTCAAGCAACTCATATGCAGGATTGTGAAGATTACGGTCTCTGCGTGCATCCAACATCAATGGGCACAGGCTCTCAAAGGGAGACTCACTTTTCTCTACTCTTCCATGACCGTTTGCCGTACAAACAGCGCTCCCGAACCTGCACATGAAAGTTGATGAGTAGTGCTTTAGGGTCGTGAGATGGATCATGTTTCAGGTTAAGGGCTTTTACAACAACAGGGATTCCTCTACAGAATTGTCCAGGCATGTTGCATTTTCGTAGACTTTCCGTTTCGCCGGAAATCAGAACTTAAATAGAACAGAGACATTCCTAAGTTGCATCTTCTATTGTCCCATGTCGGTGCTCCCTTCCATCCTATTCCAGGCTGGTTTAGTTGTATGTGCACATTTCCTAAGACGTGTGTCCGATGCCTTAAGCTGGTTAGCATTCCAAAGAGGGTCAACGATTCGGACCTCTCCCCGCCAGCTGGATAATTTTTACAACATGATTACATATAGCCCCGAATACGACCCGTGATATAGACTGTTACAGGGTGGAGGCAGTATGCAAGGGATGCCTGTGTATTCGGAAGTACCATGAGGCGACTGGAAGGACCTCGCGAACTCGATGGAGATGAGCGGAGATGAGCTGCGAACTCGCAGGGTGCAAATGCACTCCGAGCAAAGAAGTACCTGGAAGCTGAGGCTTCTTCCCGGATTCCCTTGGCATCTTAAGGTTAGATTCCCCAACACAGTACCCCTTCCCACCATGCATGTGGTAGTGCCTGTGCTTTTTTTTGTTGACGATGCTTCTGGGATGTGGGTATGAGCTCCTACTATCGACATGACTGAACCTAAACGACGGGTCTGTGTGTGGATCCAGGTTGCTGGTGGTGCAGGGAAAAAATGCCTAGTGGCCGAGATCCTGGATAGCTATTCTGATTACTATTGCCTTTACTATTCGCACAAGTACTAATTACTATTAGTTAGCATTACCATTATATTTGTTACTATTACAATGTTGTTGCTATTATACAACTTATTACGGATCTTACTATTATATGTGCTTATTTCTTACAGCTTCAAGTCTCTAAGTGGGAACTTAGTTCCGCTATACGCTATAAATGCCTTGAAGCTTACAAGACTTTCGTTGTTTGTCCAGAGATTGGCCATGAGTATCTCAAACATAGTGACGTCTCCGATTGCCCTAGCTACAAATCTGTGGCTCTCCTTCAACTACATCCAAGCATCCAAGTGGTAGTTTGCCAAAATAGGAGGACCCCAAGATAGACCCCAAAATGCAATTTCAACTTATGAATGGGACCCCCAGAATAGCTGCGGTAAAGCTTATGCCATGAGGACAGCCTTTCCAAACGCTATACAGGGGTAGGTTTGAACATAGTTGTGTTTTTTGTTACCCTTTAGTCCTATACAATCCTTATAGAGCCATCGAAATTTGCTTTTTGAAGTACGAGGCCCACAAAGCTACCCTAGAAAAGTCCCCCTTAATTAACTAGACTATGGGGTATATGGGAATCTTATCTATCTACGCTCAAGGGGGACTTTAGACTCAACACCGAGAATCCTCGACTCCAAGCCGCAAGCTGCCAAACCCGCACTCTAGAATGATAGTCTCTATGCAGGCGCAAATGTGTCAAAGTGCAGAACGTGTTGCTCTCATATCAGCATGAACGACAGCTGAGACACCTAAAAGCAGTGCAAGGAGCAGGGACTATCTACTTCCAGAAGAAGAGCGAGCAGAAGCTTGCATGCAGTCTTGGCAAGCGATTCTGCAGAAGTAAGATACATGAATGTATTGCGCAGGTCCGTTGTTTCACCCTCATGTTTAGGGTACTGTGCCAGCATTTGTACAGCCTCCCGCATCCCTAAGATCCAGAAGGTCTCAGCCGGCACCTTGTCCTTGAGTTGCGCTGCCCTCGTCTACATCGCTCCTTTGCCTTCCGTTATCATCGTACTACAGCTTAGTCGTCTACACCCCTAGATTGCTAAATAGAACCCACCAAGCTCTAAGTAATTTTGTTTGCAGCTTCCACTCCTCTTACCTTCTTATTGCTCTTGCTGATAACATTATTTGTGCCATTGCAGTTACCGCTACTACTATTAGATGGGGATGGGATGAGCCGAATGAGCCGCGTCTGCTGCAGATAGTGGTCTTAGGGGAGTTGTTTGCTGCATGTTTTGGGCAGTACAAATTCATAAAATGACCGCCCGTTCCACACTAAAAGCATGCCATTTCTTGCATCCAAAAGCACACACTTCTTCATACGAGCAGACAAGCCTTAAGTAGATAGAATATGGGGTATATGGGGATCTTATTATAAAATACCCAAAGCCATATTCTACCTAAGGGGGATTATATGAAGCTTGTTCCCTAGGGTTCTGGGGAGTGCCGCGATCCGCGATGTCTGTGCCATTAGCAGCCGCCTTCAACATCGTGTCGAGCGCTCGTCTCCCAGAGCTCCGAAGCATGTGAGCTGTAGCCTAAAACTCCTTAAAGGGGTTATATAGGGGACTATATAGGGTTTAGGAATGAAGGTTTGGGGATTACGGTTTAGGGGTTGGGGATTAGGGTCTAAACTCTTTAAAAAAAGGTTATATAGGCGATTACTATAGGGGTTATTGAGAGGGATACTAGGAGGTTAGACGAAATCTCATGTGCTGGATGAAGTGCAGCGGGCTCTGGGGCCCTGTCTAGTTCTTATGGGGTATTACATTGAAATCCCTAACCCACGGAACAAAACAAAAAGAAAGGAGCTGCATAGCAGCCGTTGGGTAGTGGTTGCACTCCCAACAAGCACAGTCACAGTAGATCAAAACAACTACGAAGCTACAACTTCTAAAAGCTGATACTAATGCTCATAGTAGCCTTCCTGTCTGCAAGTTGCTAAGTTGGGTTGAGAACGGGGCCCAGATGCGCGATGCAAGCGGTTGAACAATTTCAGGGTGCACTCAGAACAGCAAGCAGCAACAAGCATGACCTGCATGAGAAGACTGGTGCCCTGCCAAAGAACTGGGGCCTTCTCATAATAGTAATAGCAGTAAGAATAGTACAAAAACAATAGTTGTGATAATAGTAGTAATAATAGTGCTAACAGAAGTTGAGGGATGCCATAGGATCCAGCCTTTTTTGGTGGTGCTATGAGTACCTCAGCAAGCCTCAATATCAGCAGATGCGTCATGGGGGTTTCCCCAAACTTGGGGTGCCTTTTGGGGTCCCTATCATAAGGACTACAGTATTTTGGGGTCTATACTGGGGTCCGCTATTTTGGGCAACTACCTCATAGTCAACGGGACTCGAACTCGGCCAAGATTTTTCACGGAAACTTTTGAAGCAACCAGCCTTGATGGGTTTGGGCGTTGACTACAACATTTTATCCCAAAGAACCGAGAATGTTGCCAAGAGTGGCCACGTACATGTGTCTCAGCCTTGTTCAGGTGAGCATCATCCTGGTGAACAAGCAGATTGCATCAGTATGTCGCCTCACACTCAGCAGAGAATTTTCCTCTGGTCTAAACTCCGCAAAGGGAGTTATATAGGGGATTATATAGGGGAGTAGTGTAGGGTTCTTAAGCGGGATATAAACTATAGCTCGTATGACTCGCATGGTTATTGCTTTGAAAAAAGTATTGGCTTATCCAGTGTCAGCATTCCTCGAAATCAGCCAAGAGTACGCGCTAGTAAATGGTACCGTCAGAATCGTTGGTACTACTGCTACTACAACGCACCTTAGGCTGCACAGTGTAAGGATTATATGGGGGGCCATTTTGAGAAACTCCCACATAGATCGAGGGCCCATGCAATAGATTCTTCTTCTGGGAAAGATTCCTTTTGAACTCAGTGCCTGTGCGGAAGGCAGCACAAAACCGAGCAGTTCTCACCACGTAAGCAGGAAGACCGGAGCACCAGAAACTCAAGCAAAAGCATGCGTTTTTGGCGTGGACCGGCTTCTACCCCGAACATCAAAGCTACACTGCCCTGTTTTGCCCAGACATTGTTTGTTTCAGATCTTTTCACGGAGTGTTTGATGCGAGGGCTGGGGTTGGCGCTGCCCCTGGAAAACCGGTGGGACCGCAGAGTCTTGCAGCCTCGCAGGTTTCGACTTTATCTTGACGATGCTTTTTCTCAATTTCCTGACGACAGCGTCGGCGACTCAATCCCTTAGTGGGCCTGTTCTGCAAAATCATTTGTTGGAGTTCCTCTGGTCCATGCAAAAAGTTTAACCCTAAACTGCCAGTTGTAGAGCTACCCAGAAAGCAGCGAAGAGAGCAGGGACGGACGCTTGCCTGGGTTTTCGGTCTTGTTCGTTGCCCTGGGGCG